GGACCCACCGGTGGGTCCGTCGGGTTCAAGGTGTTAAAAGGGCAAATAAGGAATTCAAACCAAAAAAAAAGTAATTTTCTGTTTTGTTTTATTCTTGGATCGGGATTTAAAGGGTTAAATACAAAGAAAAACCGTAGAGAACTCAAAATGAAAAATACCAAATTGCTCTGCAAACGTGAAATAACACCAACATTGTTTTTCAAAGATTTTGTCCACAAACAAAACAAGTTTTTTTTTTTTTTTTTTTACTATTTATTTTTTCTTGCGATTCGACAGGCTGTAGAGGCCACCACCACCGAACTTCCTGACACTGTCAATAACATCATGAACACCTGGGTGCTACAGATGGGCTTCCCTGTGGTCACCATAGATACCACCAGCGGCGCTGTTTCCCAGAAGCACTTCCTCCTGGATCCAGACTCTGAAGTAACCACTCCATCTCCCTACAAGTAAGCAAACTCCTTTCTGCCGTTGTTCTCAGGACTCCCTGTGTTCCCCAAATCCTTTTAAATACATATACCAACACAGCCTCTGTTACGCTCTTCATAAGTTAAGAGGTCTAAACCTACTGACACCGTGTTTTATTTCTGTTTTTTTTCTGCAGCTATGAGTGGATTGTTCCAATCAAATGGATGAAAACCAAAATAATCCAGACCCCAAAATGGCTCACACAAAAATCAGGTATAAATATATCACCACACACTGAATAAATATAAACATTCTATTCATTACTCAGAGAGTAAACGCTGATCTAAACTTTCTATTTTTATTTTCTAAGTGTAGCTATAATATTGATTTTCTAGCAGAAAAAAAGATGGCGTTTTAAATGGAGAGGATCTTTAATGGCTTAAGCATTCAATTAAATATGATTAAATAAAAGTTAACCAAAGGCAACATCTTGACTGTAGTAAATCGTACAGTCTCCCCTCAAATGTTTAGAATAAGTTTTTTTTTTTCCTACATTTTGAGAAACGGTCAGCTCTGACTCAACCCTTTGCTTTTAGAGTTACTTTAATTGAACAGTTTGTCTGGACCAGGGGTCTGCAATTTGTGGCTCCAGAGCTGCATGTTGCTCTTTGGACCCTGTATAATGGCTCTTAATAGAGGCTAAAAAGGATATAAAGGAACTAACTATAAAAACTATAATAACAAACAGAATGACATTAAAAAGAATCAGAAATATGTTTTTTTAGAGCCATTTTATTTTAATTAGCTTGGAAATTATGTGTTTTGTCATTATATTAAAAGCTAAAAATAACACTAAACGTTTGGTTGTTTCAGGTCACTATGACAGATATTTGATAAAAATAATAATTTGTGTTTGATTAAATAGTCATGTAATATTTTGCAAATAAATATTAATACATTCCTTATTAATAAATTACCTTTACCCAGTCGGACTCGCGTAAAAATGGCTCGAGATTTTTGATTTCACAATTTAATTTACCAAGAGGACAATAATCTTGTGTTATAACTTACACCTGAATTTTTTGCAATAAGACGCCTTTTTAGGTTCTGAGTGCCAGATTTGATGCTTTGATTGGATGAATTCAGCCCACAGGCCTATAACTTGACATGTGATTAAAGGAAGCTGACGTCCGAGTTGTGGGTCAAAATTAATCCACTGTTTTAGGAAAGCAAATCTGATGCTAGAGTGGAAACATCAGATAAAGCCATGTCTCATTCATTCATTCATTAAAAGAAAAACAACAATACAAAACCTGTGCAGGTGACTGAAATTGAATAATGAATAGGAGAAGTAAAAACATAAATTATCTGCTCCTATTTTCAGTGAAGTATTACTTTTTTTTTTAGCTCTGATACTTACAACCATACATAAAAAAACACTTCGTCTTTACCAATACACAGAAAGCAAACATAAAAATTAAACCATCTATCCATCAGCCTATCCACTGTCATATTGACTCATACAAAATGACCTTCACCTTTCTAATAAACACAGAATAAGTTAAACGACATAAATAAATCATACCATCATCGCTGTCCTTTTAAGTTAGTAGTTCCAAAATACTATACCCTATATTCTACTCAATCAATTCATGGATTTTAACGTATTCAACTTCATAAATATCTAATTTATGTGATATCTGTATCCACTTCTACTTATAACTTTTGTTTCTCTCTTTAGCAATAAAAGAGTGGTTTTAAATTTGATCCATTACCCCACACCTTCTTTATTTAATGCTGACAGTGTTGCTCCGCCTCCTTCTGTAACCTGCATACACCTCTTTGCCGTCATATTCACCCTACACCAGCTGTCTGTTTTTGTCAGCTGGCTGTGGCTGTGATTCTGCTGCAGTATCACACTGCCACCAAATGGCCCAACATGTGCACCACAGCGTCTTCAATAACAGAACAGGCGACATCAGGCAGCCTTGAACCAAAGCTGCACAAATCTTTCTGAAACATGCATTTTTAGCAGACAGACCCACTGCAAGGAAATAAAAGCTATTTACCTGCTTGTTTCGGTAGATACTGTTAACGAGATGAAGGTGACGACGACTTCTGACTGGGTGCTGGTCAACCTTGACGTGGTTGGTTACTACAGAGTCAACTATGATGAAGGCAACTGGGACAGACTACTAAGCGCTCTGAGCGCCCGCCATGAGGTAGGAACAGTTTCCTTATAGCTTGGAGGTTTCAGTGTCACAGTGTGAACAGTGTTTGACATGATGCTGTTTGTGTTTAAGGACATTCCAACAATCAACAGAGCTCAGCTGGTGGATGATGCCTTCAACCTGGCCAGGTGAGTCTGAAGCTACAAGGCAGAAACCGAAAAGTAATAAAATGAATAAAATTCATCAGGTGTTTGAACCTGTTGCTGGAGTTAGATGAATAAGGGAAAACAATATTTCAGATGTGATTTTATGGTGATGAACCTGTGGTGCAAATAGCAGACATCTGGGTAAAGAAAGACTTTGATTAGTTTTCTTAGAGGTGGTTAAGTTTCCTGTTGTCTTAATCTTCTGCTTAAACTATAATTTAAAAATCATGTTCCGCTTAATAATCCTTTTATGTCATCTAAGAGGGTGTAAAATAGCTCACCGCTTATTGCTTACCGTAGCAGAAACTAAGATAAATCCTACTGGCTCTTGTTTCCAAAGAGCCAAGATCATCCCTACAGTGCGAGCTCTCCAGACCACCCTGTACCTGAAGAACGAGAGGCATTACATGCCGTGGCAGTCTGCTCTGAACAACCTGGACTTCTTCTTCCTGATGTTCGATCGGAGCGAAGTGTACGGACACATGCAGGTGCCTGGCTTTCCTCTATGAACCTGCAATACCGTCTAATCCTTTATGGCCTTTCTTTATATTCACGTTTCCTGTGGCTCTGATGTTTGCAGGATTATCTAAGGAATCAGGTCACGCCTCTGTTTGAGCACTACAAAACCGTAACCGACAACTGGACCAAAGTACCAACAGGACACATGGACCAGTGAGTACAACCTAATGCGCGCAGTTCCTTTCATAAATCATTATGGTTTTGTTATTGATTTATTTGTGGAGTGATTAAAAATCATAAAACTGCAACATACTGTAAAATGAGTTCTAGAAAGCAGATTGCTCTGCCAGGTGTAACTGTTTTATGGAGGTGAAAAAGGAAGAGCCTAACACACAAATACAAAAAAAAACACTTGCAAAGAAAAGCTGCTACAAAAGAGTTGGGGAAAAAAAAAACAACCTTCTTAAAACCTTCTATCTGAAACCTTAAAGGGTCAGATCCATCATTAAATGAGTCATCTAACCCAGCACGCTGCTTTGCAGCAGATTAAGCTTCCCGTAAACACTCTTATGTCTGACAAGCGTGTGTCTGACTGTGAGGGACCAGACTTAAATAAGGACAAATGGTGTTCAAAATTTGAAAAAGTGCATTCATTTAATTGTGTAAAAAGGGTTAACAAAGGCTCAAAAGCAATATAAAATAACTTAAATACAGAATCTGGGCCCAACTTAACTGAGGTCAACTGAGGATCCAACTCAAACAAAAAACTGACCTGCAAACAAAGAACTAAAGGCTGCTTAAAAAGGGATGGAGTAACCCAAGTCGACAAAATGAGGGAGGCACAACATAACAAAAGAACCAATTAATACAAAATTAACCATTCTATGAAACAAATAAAGCAAAACTAACTTACTTAACAGAAACAATAAATGAGTATTTAAGTGACAAACTAATTGAAAACTTCTTGAAACAAGTCTCCCCCGTCAGTCTTTCAAAGGTGGTACGTTCCAGATTTCCTTCTCCAGCTGGTTTGTATCAGCAGCACCTCAAACAAAAGAACAAGTGTAAATAAACCATTCAGACAGACATTAACTAAAGTGTGCACCCATTAGAAAATACCTGTCTAAAATAACCAACTTAAACATAAATTGTAATATAATATAAAGCAAGAAAAGAAAATACTAACACGATGTGGTGGTGGGAGGATCATCCACCACACTGACCCTTAACTTATCAAACACAGTTCTGGTTCTCCATCCATCCATCCATTTTCTGTCACGCTTATCCCTGCTTGGGTCGCGAGGGCTGCTGGTGACTATGTCCAGCTGTCTATGGGCGAGAGGCGGGGTATACCCTGAACAGGTCTGTATAGTTGGATGTGTGTATATATCATGAAAAACTGTAACTAGAGCGTGTAACAAAAGTAATTTCCCTCTGGGATTATTAAAGTATTTCTGATTCTGATTCTGATTCTGATTCTGAGGTCGCCTGTCCATCGCAGGGCAACACAGAGACACACAGGACAAACAGCCATTCATGCACACATTCACACCTTAGGAGATTTTAGAGAAGCCAATTAACCTAATAGTCATGTTTTTGGACTGTGGGAGGCAGCCGGAGTACCCGGAGAAAACCCAGGCATGCACAGGGAGACATGCAAACTCCATGCAGAAAGATACCGGGCTGAGAATTGAACCCGGAACCTTCTTTCTGTAAGGCAGCCGTGCTACCCACTGCCCACCGTGCAGGCTCTAGTTCTAGTTCTCTGATACAGTACTTAATCTAGAGGAACTTTAACAGGAACTCCAGGACTCCAGTGCAGTGCTCCCGGAGATTTGCAGACGCACTTAGCCTGAAGCACAGTGTTGCTTTAAAGTTATTTTTTAAAACCATAAAAAAAGAACAATTTGTTAAACTGTGTTTGAGTTCCCTGTCCTCTGTAATCTTCATGCAGGTATAATCAGGTGAACGCCATCAGCCTGGCCTGTAGAACTGGTCTGAAGGCGTGTCAAGATCTGGTCCAAGGATGGTTTAAAATGTGGATGGATTCCGGCAACAACCCGTGAGTCAAGAATATGAACTCAGAGCTTCAGACAGTCGACCATAGATTCTGTACTGTCCGTCATGCAGATACTCTCTCTCTCTCTAGGATCCACCCCAACCTGCGCTACACTGTGTACTGTAATGCCATTGCAGCAGGAGGCGCCGCAGAGTGGAACTTCGCCTGGGAGCAGTTCCAGAACGCCAGCATCGCTACTGAAGCTGATAAACTGCGTGCTGCGTTGGCCTGCACCACAGAGCCATGGCTGCTGAACAGGTGGGCTCTTGGTGGGCCTGGCTGATGCCTGAAGCCTATCAGCATCTAATGCTGGTCTGATCTGCCCAGGTATCTGGAGTACACTCTAAATTCATCCCTGATCCGGAAGCAGGACGCCACCTCCACCATCGTCTACATCGCCCAGAACGTGATCGGTCAGTCTCTGGCATGGGACTTCGTCAGGGCTCGGTGGAATTACATCTTCACTCAGTGAGTGGGACACAGATCCAGTTTCTCCTCAGCTGCTGTGAATTTCTCCACTAGATATTCATAAATTACCTCTAAGGTAACACTGGAACAGTGAAGAATCATAAAAAGCATTTTGATGACAGGAGATAGGCGTTTTTATCAGGCTGTTTGCAGTCAGTGAAAGGTTTTATTGATCAATCTACTAAATCTTCTGATGATCTTTGATCCTCATAAAACCATGCGGTCTGGTATTTCCTTTGGACTCATCATTCTTGTATAATGACACCATAAAGCTTGAGTAAAATAACAAAGTGGATTTTGAGAGAAATTGCGTAACATGATTGTCAGACTTTACTTGGAGATGTTTGAGGTATATGAAAAAGTTGAGATGTGTCTTATTGTCTTGCAGGTTTTTGTTCATGTCTGTTTTATTTTATTTAATGCTTCTATGGTTTATGTTTCTTCTTATAGGTATGGTGGTGGATCGTTCTCCTTCTCCAACCTTGTCAATGGAGTCACAGAACGCTTCTCCACAGAGTTTGAGCTTCAGCAGGTCAGAGATCGTTTTGAAACGACCATTTAAAATCAGCTTCATAATGAATTCCATAATGAATTCAGGGCTGTGTTTGGATTTATATATAGAGGCTGTTGGAGCTCATAAAACAGCAACATTTCATCCATATCTGAGGATGGCAATCATAAAGTTCTGCAGATAGAGGACAGGAGCTTAAATGATGAGAGGAGTCAGATGATAAAAGTTTAGATATGAGCTTCAGTCAACAAAGTTAATTTAAGTTGCTTAAAAACCTGATACTAACCTGTGTTCATGTAATTTAAAATTAACTGTATCAGTTTGAAAAGGACTTTCACTGAAGTGAAACTGAATTTAATGGTTGGATTTTATTTTTTTGTTTTGTATTAAAACATATTTTTTACCTTCTGGGCTTTAATTACATTTCAGTTCAAACTGTTTCTGCGTGTCAGATATCTGGGTCCTTTGTTAGGGTTTGGTTGAGGTTTTGAGGACAAATGCAGAGGCGAGGAGGCAGAGGTGTTTTTTTTAAGATTTAATTGAATAACTGAGGCAGAAAATCTAATAACGAGACAACTTTATGGGAAAAAACTCACGTGGGGAGCCAAGTAAAGACGAGGAACCAGCAGTGAGGAACTGCACAGGGAGAGTATATATGGGAGACTGATAAAAGACAGGACAAATGAGCTGATTGGGAGCAGGTGTGAACAGAGGATTCTGAAAGGGAGCTAGGAAAAAGGAGAACAACACCCAGGCTCGGACTGGGAACGATTTTTGGTCCTGGCATTTTTCCATCTAAAACAGCCCACTTATACAGTGGGTCCTGGTTGGAAATGGACACTTCACTCACGCTCTCCGTGTTTCACCAATTGCGTGAAAAACATGTGAATACTATAGCCACTAGGTGGCAGTCTGAGTCCATTTCGGCGTCCCATGAGATTTAGCCCAATTTGAACCAAAGTCTATTGATCTCTTTTTTACCCATAGACGGCCATCCTAAACTGCCAGATTGGGAAACATCCCAACCTGGCAACAATGCACGTAAAACGGGAAACGTTAGCCTTTAGATGCAAAACCCCATCATGCACCGCAACATATGCAAAATATTTTAGCATAAATTCACCTACTATAAGAGCTACATGACCCAAGTCCATCTTCTTTTTTTACATGAAATCATTACACGTGGGAATTTAAAATTATTGATTACATCTAAGTGAGCTCCTCTCCTGCATATTAAAATGTGGTATAAATTAAATTTAAGTTGATGTATGACACAAAGAAACTGATGGTTTTTTTGTTTTTCTTTTTTTTTTCACTGAAACTGAATTAAAAAGCTAAAAGTTAAAGAAGACAAATATAATTACATGAATAAAGATTCAGGGAAATGTAAAATTTTGATTCTAAAAATACAATTACTACTGAGTTACTCATAAAAACATCCAATTTACTATTGAAAATAATTTAATAAAACAAAATAAAATGAAATTTTATTTTAGATTCTGATATTTTAAAGACTGTAATAATATAGAATCAGTGACTAATGTAATAATTCATAACAATTCCAGATAGAAGAAACACTTTTTACAAATATCTTTTAACACTAGTTATGAAACCGATCCTCACTGTACTTCATTTAAACAATTTAAAACAGTGTAAACTGTCCCTCCAGGCCAAATATTTGCTCATAACTGTATATTAGCTTAATCACCAAATTTCAGGGGAGGTTCAATGCATTTACAGTATGTTTGTGAACCTAACAGGAGCTTATTTGGACACAGAAAATAACAGTATTTATCGGGAGCGCTTTAGTTCAAAGCAAATTTCTAGTTGGTATAAAGATATCAATCAAGTAAATGTAGGAAGCATAGTGCCACTCCTAGAAGTATATGTTTGTCAAAAAGTTACTCAAGTGAATATAAGTGAGTAAATATAGCTGGTTATTACTAAGGCTGAGACAATTAATCAGATTAATCAATTATTGAAATAATGGTCAACTGATTTAGTAATCAATTAATCGTTAACTGGAGTACAGAGACTGTAAAACATGTCTTTAGCTGACAGAGGAACGCCCTTAGAGCAGTAATTATGCCAAGATTATTAAAAATATATAAACATTTTGCATTTAAGATAAAAAATCCTGAACTCCTCAAGTGGAAAAGTTAGAGTTTCCTCTGGTTTCATTCATAAAGTCTTCCTTAAAGAATCTTTGGCTATCTGATTATTAATAGAAAAAACAATCAACAGATAAACTGGTTTGTAAAATAATCGTTTGACGTTAGTTGCTGCCCTTGTTTCAACCCACCTCTGGGTTTACAGAGGATCTAAATCCTGCAGTGATTGTGTCATCAGTACACTTTATCATAAAACGCTCAATGATTCAGCAGAGGGAAGCTCTCCTTCACTTATCAGAACCTGCTTAATCCTCCAAGTTAGTGCAAAGAAAGGATTTTTCTCTCAAGAAAAATCTCCTCAATAGAAGCAACTAAGAAGGGCAATAAAAAGAAAATGATATTTTAATTAATATTTATCAAAGCTGTGTTCCTGCCATAGGGAAGACGAAGCTTCTATTAAGTTTGATGATATTAGATCCTAAACTTCTCTGTGTCCAAGATGAAGAGTAGCGTGCTGTTTGGTTGGAGAGGGAGACGTTAGGTTCAGCTCACTGCGTGTTAAAATGTCATCCAAAGCGGGAAGGCGATGTTTCCTCCTCTGCAAGCATGTTTTAGACAATTGATAACATGTGACAATGCATTGTTTTGGTAAATCTCTGCCTATATCTGCACAACTTTAGCCGCTCCAGGCGTTTTCTACATCCACGCCTTTATCCACTCAGTTCTCTCATGGCTTTCTCTGAATGTTCTTCCCTGAACATGTTTCTATCTCTGTGATTTCAGCTGAAGCAGTTCAAGGAGGATAACGCCGATGTGGGTTTCGGGTCTGGGACTCTGGCAGTGGATCAGTCCATTGAGAGAACCCAAGCCAACATGAAATGGATTGCAGAGAACAAAGAAAACGTTCTGAACTGGTTCATAGAAGCCGTCAAAACACCAACATAAACATAGCTCTGCTTAGTTGTTTTTATTTCATGAAAAATGTGCTTTTATCATGAAATAAATTTCTTTGGAAAAGCTTAACAATCATTCTGGTCCAATTATGTTTTTTATTTTTTTTATTTTTAAACACCCCAAAGCAGCATTTAGAGCTTAGTTATTTAATTTGATCCAAGTTGAGATTAAAATTGTTCTATTGAAGGAAATCAACAGAGCAGTAGCAGTAAAGAAATAAGCAACCAAACACCTGAAGTTGGACATTAGTTCAGAAAACTTTAGTACAGAAATTAGTTTGTTTTTTTCCCTTCAATTTTTAACCAAATGTTTTAGGATACATAACAATAAATGGTTAAGAAAAATAGTTTGGTCCTTCTTTTCAGACACCAGTCAATTGTGATGTCTTTTTTGGAGGAATAACCATAAGAACTGTCATCTCAGCTTATTTATCTCAGGAATTATTGTGAATTGTAATGTATGGTAACATTAGAACATCATTAAATGGGGTTTAATATTTATAAGGTTTGTTTTGGTAATGACAGCTGTATTCATTCATGAAATCAGCCTGAACCAGTGTTTTTTTTGTGTGTCCTGTTGCTGCCTCTAACTGAACAGAATATTTTGAGTAAAACTGTCTGTGCAAAGCTGACTTAAATCAAAAGTTATCTTATGTTTGAGTTAATAGATTTATGCATTCAGCTTATTAATTGTGCATACTGTCCTCTAAGTAAATAAGTTTCACTGTATTGAAAAACAGACAATTAAAAGATTTCATTAAGTTACTGTTGTGGTTTATCTTTCTTCAACACATTTACGCCCATTCAGATTAAGTAATGATCTTCCTATATGTGTTTTAATTTTTAGTGTATTTATTGTCTTTATGAATTTTTCTTTCTGTTTTTCAAACTTTAAGATTTTTCCATGAATAAAAAAAGAGATTTGGAATACCTTTGTGTCCTTGTGACAGACTAAAGATCCAGTTTCAAAATGGATTTTGGTTTTGCCTTCAAGTCTGATTCGTTTTTCTATTTGGGTCTTGCCATATATTTTGTATTTACCATTAAGGGAATTACCATATTAATTTTGTCTGTTTACCTTTTATCAGTTTTATATCTCTTGCTTATTTCTTTGTGCTTTAGCAGATTTTGTTTTACTTTCTCTAATCATTATTCTTGGATGGTTGGATTCTTTCTCTTAGTTTGTTTTTTCCAGGGTTTCTCCTTGTTAAACCATTTCTTTCTCTCTTAGCGTGAAAATGTCAGGGTTTAGTTGTGGTTTGGAGGACCCAAATGCAGAGGCAGAGGCTGAGGAGATCTCTTGGGAGTTTTAATGGGGCAAAACAGTAAACAAAGGCAGGGATCCAAAAATGCAACTAATAATAAAAAGGCAAACCAGAACAGAAGAGACATCTGGGGAAAACCAAACACGAGGAGCCAGGAGGAGACGAGGAACATAGACCACAGCATGGGAAGACAGCAAAGACAAGGAACCAACAAAGAGTGAGAGCAGAGGGAGAGCATATATAGGAGAGAGAGACAAAGGGAGGGCTAACGAGCAGACAAGGAACAGGTGTGAGAGGAGACAACGAGGGAGCCAAGGGGAAAGGAACATACACACACAAGAGGGCAAAAGGGGACAACAGAAAAACATGAGAACTAATATAAATCTAGAAATACAACAAAACTGGAATTAAACCAATAAATCTAGAAAATAAGGAGCAAAGTAAAGAACAGCAGGACCAAGACCATGACAGAAACTTGTCTTATTTGGTCAATTCTCTGCATCTACCGTCTCTCATTTGTTATACTATTTGCATCCGAGCCCTTTACCACAAAGCAGAATAACTGGGTTAGTGAGATAACTTCAGAGTTAACCCATGAAGCTAGATTTACTCTTAGCAAGCCTAGTTACCATGGTAACATACACAGAACGGCAATAACACGATACATTACGGTACAATCTGCTGCCCTGGGGTCCTCTTCCACAACATATTCTTCCCAAATGTCCTCCTCTAAATAAAAACTGTATGATGGAGGAGACTCATCCACGACCTCCGACACTAAACTCTCCTCCTCTTGCATGTTTCCGCTGTCCATAGCGTTCCTTGACAGTGTCGTTTCTAAGTCACTAATTTAGTGCTACTTGGTATCAATGGAATTTCCCATTGGGAACCTGGTAGCACTAAGTTGCTAACTGGTTAGCAAGATGCTTCAGACAAACCAGCCACAATCAAACATGCTTGCGAACCTTTCGCCACAACAACCCCGACCCCTTGATAAGCGACCAATCACATTCACTTTATTCACTCGATTAAAGTCGGGCACCACTCGGGAGAATTTGGAAATGCAACCGTTGGAACAGCCATATCCCTACGATTTTAAGAAGAACTAATCACCTGGGTTTAAGGATTTAACAGGGTTTAACCTGAGCCTGACCTTGCCACTATGATAATCAAATTACAATCGTGGAGGTGGAATATAATCATGTTTTTACAGGATGGTTTTTACTGTATTGGTAAAACCTGCAGCACAAATATCTGTAACCGGAGACAAATATCGTACTGGAACATCTCTTTCATTACTGATGTGTTTGTTTGGTTTTGGATTCACTTAAAAGGGGAAACAGAGTCTAGAGAATCTACCTTGCAAAATGCTAAGAGGGATTTATGTAAAACTAACAGTTGTTCTTTTGTTTATTGCTTACAGCTACTTCTGGGGCATTAACCCTGAAGCAGGATCAAATTCCAGGAGAAAGTCCATCGGCCCACATGTGAGGATACTTGTCAATAAACTTTTCATATGTAGAAGCTCTTTAGAAACAATAACAGTAGTGTCTATCTCCCCCCAAAAAACTCCTGGATCAGCTTTTCTGATTGGATCACATCCAGTTGCAAAAGCTAAATCTTTTTAACTCAAGTGTCAAACGCTCGGATGCTCAGACAACAGAACGCTCCGGCCCCAGAACTCTCCAACGCCACAACACTCGGATGTGTTGCTTGAACGCTCCACTGGACGTCTTTACGCCATCCCCCATAGACTTTGCATGTAAAACAGATGCTTTGACGCAGAAAAGATGCAATGCTTTACTTGAGCTTTACTTTATGCAGACTGTTGCAGCTTTTCTTGTGGTCTCTTTGAGCTTGCCATTTCCCTCTAGTATTCCACAGTACTTGTAGCTCTCATCTACATGCCACGCCATTCTCCCCTCTGGGAGTGTGATCCGCTCTGTGTGGATTACCTTCCCTGTCCTTGTCACCATTCGGCCAAATTTCTCTAGCCTAAATGATATTTCAAAGTCCCTGCTGTAGATCCTGGTGGTGTAAAAAAAGGGAGTCAATGTCTTTTTCACTCTTAGTGTACAGCTTGATATCCTTGTTCAGGAAGTGGCTGATAGGGCCCCCATTTCTGAGTCAGTGTATAAAGCCAGTCTTGTTGATTATTTGGCTGAAGGGATTCAGCCCTATGCAGAACAGCAGGCGGGACATATAACCTCCTTGGTATATTCCACATTTGGAGATTTTTGCATATTTCATTAAAGTTGGCCTCAAGTGTGGTTTTCCACAGCCCGATGGAGTTTGCAATGAAGGCCCTTAGATCCAATATGTGTGGCATTAGGTCATAGACTTTCTTGTGATCAATCCAGGCTGTGCACAGGTTTGTTTGTCTTGTTTTAGTCTTTACAGTCAAAGGTTAGCATTTTGTCAGTAGTTGGTGTTTGTCTCCTCTGGTGCTTTTACCAATGCCTTTTTGTGCCTCTGTCATGTGTTCATCTATGTGCCAGCTTGTCTTTGCCATTATGATGCCTGACAGGAGGTTCCATGTTGGGGAGATAGTGTTTGGCTGATAGTTGTTTGGGACTGTCCCCTTCTGGGGTTTTTCATTGTCAGGACTGTTCAGCCCTCAGTTGGCCATTCAGGGTGGGTCCCTCTCTTCAACAGCCAGGTCTTCTGTGCTGCTAGTTTTTCATGCTTCAGCCAGTATTTGTGGGTCATGTCTGGGTCTGGTGCTGTCCATTTCTTCATACCTGAGGGTCTTTGTTGAAAGTCTGCAATTGTGATGTTCATTAAACCTGGTTCAGGGAAGTTTGAAAGGTCAGCTCTTATGTCTTTTAGCCACTGTGCATCATCATTATGTGATTCTTCTTTCTGACAGACTTTTCCAGTGTTGTTCAGTCTCCAGCCTTGGTGGGTTGGCTCATGTGTTGTTACCCTGCCACTGGGAGTACCCCTTAGCTAAAGTTTCTCACTGCAGAGGCAGAGATGATTTCTTGCAGATTTAATAAAGAGGTAAGAAGCAATAATCCAGAAACGACCCGCTAATTTTCATTTAGTCTCTACTAAAACACAAAACCATGACGCGTCATGTTTTCGTCATCAAAGACCCATGTTTACTCGTCAGTTTTTGTTATCGTCACGAAAATTAGGAGCGTCAATGAAATGATTTCATCGTCCTCATTGTTGGGGAAAACAACACTGGTCAAAAGGCACTCCTACATGCATGCAGCCATGTCCCCCATGGTGTTTGAGGACAGAAAACACCAAGCTCAGAGGATTTCTTCCTCTCTCCGTGAAGCTGTCCTGAGGTTCACATCAGAGATACCAACATGCAGCGTCATGTCAAGGGACCAGACACTGCAAAATCACCAGAGGCTAAGTCGTGATGGCCAAAATTCAAAACCAAATTGCTGCGAAACAGACTGTTTGCAACATTTTTCTGTGAGTTTTAGAACTTTTAGAGTGGATGGAGGTGGGAGTCCTAAGGACTCCCTAACTGTGGGCCTGTCATGCTAAGCTGGAAACACTACACAGATATATAGTTATTTTATTCAATCTTCCATTTAAATGTACTTATAAATATCTTTGCCAAGTGAAAAATAATTTTAAACCAATAACTGAAATGTACGAGAACACAAGAAGCAGAAAACAAACAATTGAATATGTAAACTGAATCCTGAGGGAATGTCAAATGAATGACATCATCAATGCTCTAACTTATGTGAAAATAAAACCACCTTACATGTCAAAGCGAGCCATGAAGGAAGTGAGGAAAAGTTTACACCAGGCAGCGCTATGTCTCCTGCAGTTCTCTGAATCTTTGACCCTTAAACAAACAATAAAATCCCTGCGTCACACCCCTGTGAAATCTCAGCATAGTTTTACGACCAGAGGGCGATCATGCACTAACTTTCTCAGTAGTTTATCACTTATCAGCATATTCAGTTCCCACCAGAGACTCCCTGACCTTATATATCATCCATAAATTCCTCAGAGTGTCAGCTCCTTATGGAGGAGTAGAGGGGGGGCGTCAACTGCTGACCAGATGAGCTCAGGCTTATTCAGCCATCTGCAGCTGAACGGGGACAGAGCTGCTGCTGGTTTCTGAAGCCAAACTTTAATCTGCTTCAAGATAGGAGAGCAATGGGGAAAAGATGCAAAGTCAGCCCGCTGCGTGTTTTCTGCGTGGTTCTGGCCGCGGCCTCTGTCGCAACCATCGTCACATTGTGGACTATCGCTTTCACAGGAGGAGAAGGAGGTGACGTCACGGCTCCTTGGGACAGGTAGGATATAAAAGGCCTCATGAAGGACAGCAGGATGTTCTAAAAAACATCCTGCAGATCCAAATGCTGAAGTGCAGAAGGTTCAAAGCATGAGGAACATGTGAAAATGACCTGATCAGTTTTAGAAGATGACCAAGATCTTATCCAGATTTTATATTTATGTTAATTATAAAAATAAATATTGGGAAAAACTGCATGTTTCTCTGAGCTTCCTGTTCTGCTTGTCTGTGTAAAGTAATTAGACTCATAACAGCAATACACCAAGAAGAAGAGCAACAGCAAACGCTGAAAAGGAATTCACCCTCCATCTACTGACGCTTCATCAACAAAGCCAAATAATGAAAAACCTTCATCTAACCTGACTGTAGATAATAAAAGTACACATTACAGCTGAAACATTTTGATTCTTCCGCTCATCCCTTCAGGTATCGTCTGCCTCCAGGATTAGTCCCTTTGTTTTACAACATCACACTGTGGCCTCGACTCAGGCCCAAAGAAAACTCTAGCCTCTACATTTTCACAGGTGAGTAAGTTAATAGTTAATAGTTAAGTTTATTCCTAAAGCTGCTATAATACGCACAGATCAAATCACTGAGACTTGCTAAACTCTGCTTCCTCCTGCTCTTCAGTAGCTTTCACTTTTTCGGTCCTGGTGTTTGGGGCTTTGTCAGCTGTATTATTACTCATTGCTCCAAACAGTTGTGTTGAAGAACTGAGCCAAAAAGCAATACAGCCCATCTCCTCTCTGAACCACACCTTAACTCTTCAGATATAGACAACATGGACTACAGGGCTGGTTATCCTCCAGCAGCAGTGTGTCACAGTGAGCTTGTCGCAGATATTTTTAATTTATGCCCAATTTTGAAAGTCTGCGCTAGAGTCCTGCAAGGGTCGAGTTTTACCAACCCGCACCCGCCCGAACCCGTTAGGATGACTACCGAACCCGACCCGTCACCCGCGGATATCTTCAATTCAAATCCGAACCCGACCCGTTGATATTTAACCCGCAACCCGAACCGTTAACACATCAAGTAATAGGCTATAGTACGCTGCGCTGCAGAACAGCGCCATTAACACTGCAGCAGACGTGTATGCACTGACTGTGGCCTTTTTGGAAGGAAGCGCACACTGCCGGCAGGGCTTTAAGCTACAACAAGGGTGACCCCAGACAGTGCCTGATTAACATAACATTTCTGATGTCCATAACAACACACACGCATAAAAAAAAAGAATCACCAACTACCCGCCTGCACTAAAAAAATATCCGCCCGACCCGTTTATTTTTATTTATGTATTTTTCACCCGCAAAAGAGCATTTTAGCGGGTGTCCCGTAGGGGACCCGACCCGTTGCAGGACTCTAGTCTGCGCTATGTTATTCTATGCAACAACGCAAGAGGGACAATCAGGAACTAGATGTGGGTCTACTGTAGATACGGCCGAGGCGGTGAGGAAGTGGGGGCAAGTTTGTGCAGCAATGGAGGGACATAAGGGTGAAAAAGAGTGGGGATCCAGGTGGAAAAAGGGTCCCAGCGTTTTCGCGCACCTCGCTCTTCTAGCTGGTCCATCTTCACGGGTTGTTTTCCACAATGGTGGTCATACAAACAAAACAAGCTGGTAAGATACCAAAGGAAATACGCATAGTGTAGAGCGGATGTAGATTTGACCAATCAGAGGCCTCCTGTCTGCGGCCACCTACAATTTTGGAGAGGTGCAGCAGTGTGTGCGGAAGGGGCGGGGGCATATCTGCGTTCACTGCGACACACACGCAGACGACCTAGTTCCTGAGTATTACATCTAAGCGATGGGTGGTCTCTGCTGTGATTGACAGCAGCACACTGGCAGTTTACAGCGACAGAAACATGGCAGGCAGAGTAAACCCAGTAACGGCTTTGCATTGGAGCCGCCATATGCGGCGGAGGATCCCTCTCCGTCGTCTTCACCAGAGGACAGAGGAAATGGGGGGGAAGAGAAGAGCGGAACCGGTTCTATTCAATAGATGGGAGATTCTGTGTGGTTCTGTTCCCTCCTCCCACATATGCTGATTATTTGAAGCAAACACTGCCTGAATAAAACTAATGTTAAATCCTTTTACAACACGGGACATATGATGCAGACTGGTTTTTGTCCAGTTTTAATGCTTTTCCAATCTTAAATGATCTATATATATTAAACCATGTCAACCACAGCTGCTTGGGGTAGAGCTGCTGTCAGTTCTCCTAAATTACATCCCATCCCCGGCTGAGCCAAAATTAGATGCTGTAGCCCCTTTTTATCATGAGGAGGGCACCAACCAGACAATGTTAGTTAAAAAAGCTGATTTTCAACAAATGTGTAAGATGCCCTACAGTGTTCCAGCAGTTAATAAGCTTAATCTTCCTTTGACTGACTTCAGTATAATAGGATTCAAATAATCATCGTTGCCCTCTTGTTCATCAGGCTGGTCCACTGTGCAGTTTGAGTGTCTGGAAGAAACCAATCTGATTCTGATTCACTCTAACAAGCTAAACTACACAAAGATGGAAGATGGACACCCTGTTAGGCTGACTGCTGAAGGTACAGAAAACACTGCACACCGTATATGACAGTGACTCACAACTGAAAATGTCACCTGGAGGCAGTTCTACCTGCTGCATGATTGTTCTAAAGGTTTTATTTTCCAGGTGATGAATCTGCTCCAAACATTAAGTCAGCTTGGCTGCAACCTCAAACACAGTATCTGGTCATCCAGCTGAAGGGTAGATTAACTCCAGGACAGAAGTACCGGCTGTACGCAGAGTTTACCGGAGAGCTTGCTGATGACCTAGCTGGATTTTACAGAAGCGAATATGAAGAAGATGGAGTCAGAAAGTGGGTTCTGTTTTGCCATCTCTGCCAGTCTTTTAAAACTTCAGCTTCAAAGTGGAAACTCTTCACAGGGTTGTTGCAACCTCCCAGATGCATCCCACTCATGCCAGGAAAACATTTCCCTGCTTTGATGAGCCGGCCATGAAAGCAGTTTTCCACATAACCCTGATCCACCCGCCTGGAACCGTGGCTCTGTCTAACGGCATGGAGGAAGGTAAGAAAACAGGTCCAGCAGCACAAGCCTGCAACTTTAGTCCACATTTATCATTAAAATGCAGCATTTCTGTAATAATCTGTTGCACTAGTATTCAGTGTTTTATTTTAGTAATGTGTTTTTGGTAACTAATGTTAGTTTTGGCTGAATATTCTGGTTTAAACAGCTTTTCCCCATCTGCTTATTTATCGGCCTGTGTTTTATACAGTGATGCCAACCCCGATTTTTTTTTTTTTTTTCATCAATCTAACTGATCCCAGAAATGTACTGCCAATATTTCTAGGCCAATTTTTGAGCTGATATTGCTTTTGATTCCTCTATTTACATGATAAAAGTCTATATTGTTTTTATACAATTCAAACTTTACCTGATATGTGCAGCACTTTGTGGCAGCTGCGATGGTTTTAAATGGCTTTTGAATAAAGTTGAGTTGAAGCCCCATGGTGATTCCAAAAGCAGACCAAGTTATGGGCTCAGAATCCTGAAAACCAGGGGGCACCAACCCCATTTGGACACCCCACAGGGCCAAGGGGCCCTTGCCCGGTCCAGCTGCTGCCCAGAATGAGATAGTAACTAACAAGGCACCCAGCTGCACACAGAGAGAATCACCAGCACACCAGAAAACCACCCATGCAACGGAGATCAGGGTTCCAGACTACAACGTGGGCAGTAAGATCAGCTTATGAGAAAATTAAGATCAACCTTTCCAAAATATCAATATATTGTGTTTGACCTGTGTCCAGTCCTTCTATATTGGCATGTTGTTTTAATAAAACAAACTTTTACAACCATTTAGAGTTCATTTGTTGCTGCTATTGTGAGTCAGCTAATAGAAACATACTGTAGATGTCAGAGGGGAACAAAAGCCTGAGTTCATCCTGAACATGAGGGAAACCTGTAGAGAAAGAACAAGCCAGACCGAGTGAAACAAGGGCAACCAATGTGTCATTTGAATCCAAGTTTTCATAGTTAACTAAAACTGATGATAAAACACTGAAATGGAGAACACATTTTGCTAATTGAAATAGAATAGATCAAATAAAAAATGGTGATTGAAAAGGAAAAAAATATAAATAACTTAAACTGCTGTGTGTTTATAAAATGACCCAAAGCAAACTATCCATCCATTTTCCGTCCTGCTTATCCCAAGCGGGCTCATGAGGGATGCTGGTGCCTATCTCCAGCTGTCTATGGGCAAAAGGTGGGGTTCAAACAACCATTCACGCACACACTCACTCCTAAGGACAATTTAGAGAAGCAAATTAACCAGTCATGTTTTTTGGATTGTGGGAGGAAGCCGAAGATAACCAACATATGCTCAGGGAGAACATGCAAACTCCATTTAAAAAGACCCCGGCCCCGGGAATCAAACACTAAAACCTTCTTTCTGCAAGGCAGCACGTGCTACCCACTGCACCACTGAGCAGCAAAAACCAGAATTATAGAAATTTATCCTCCATGTTTGTGTTTATCAGTTGCTTTTATATCCCTTTAAACAGATGTATTCGGGTTTTTTCACCTTCTTGTATTAGTTAATCAGCTATAATTGAACCATTTCTGAAAGTAGTATCTTGTATCTATGTATAAATACCTTTCTCTGACCTTCAGAATCCTGCACCTTAAAATTGATCAAAGTATGAAAAAACTTAAACTAGTACTAAAAGGAATTAAAAACAAGACTAAAACAAAGCATTTTAAAACTATATTAACTAATAAAAAGTAACAAACCCATTCTAAAATCAGACTAAGACTAAACTAGAATTAAAAATCCCAAACATTATAACCCTGATTAGGTTGAACTGTAGACGAAAGCTGAGAGAGAAAATGCTACACCAGTGGTATAAAAGGTATAAGTTTAAACCATTAATTTGTTATTTTATCTTTTTTGTGAGATTTTTTGATGGTCACAAGTATAGAGGAGACCATCGTTGTACAAGTTCATAATAAAAAACGAGTTCAAAGTTCAGTTCACACAGATGAAAATGAACTTGCTCACATTCATATTTCACTTTTTCAAAAAATGAGCTGAGTTCACAAACCTATAAGACTTAGACTTAACGTTATATATCCCCTGCGCTCACTCCTTCAGGGAAATTCTGGTTCCGGTAGCTTATATACACCGGCCACTTTATTAGGTACCCCATGCTAGTAACGGGTTGGACCCCCTTTTGCCTTCAGAACTGCCTCAATTTTTCGTGGCATAGATTCAACAAGGTGCTGGAAGCATTCCTCAGGGAGTTTGGTCCATATTGACATGATGGCATCACACAGTTGCCGCAGATTTGTC